CTAATCTTAACCTTTGCTGTAATGTTCTATTATTTTGAACTTACGCACGCTTTATTTAATTGTTTTTCGAACTTTCCCATTTTCATGTTACACCGGGTCTTGCAGGTGTTTTTGGGATAGTTCCGGTCCCTAAGCACTATCCGTGGAATTGCCGGAAATGGGGTTTACCAATAAGTTTTAGTTACGTACGTACGTAACTATGACCGGTATCAATGATGTCATTATAATAAAACAATGGATTACTAAAATCTCCTTATTCTCGTTTTTGCACAATCTTTATTTAAAATGAAACTATCAAATAAAACAAATTTATTTTCTTTTCAAATAGTTATTTTTATGCTTATTGGTCTACTTATCAATACTACACTAGAAATGGATACCGCGACCGCAATATTCACACCCAAAGATGGTGATCCTACCCAAAGTCTAACAGGTCAATTCAATTTTACTCAAATTACTTCTACGAAAGTTCATGTCAGTGGTCAATTAACAAGTGGGATGTTCAATAAAGACATCAAGAATTATAAATTTTGGATTGCAGACAGTCTTGGGCTCCTTTTTTATGAGTTGTCTGAAGGATTCATTAAAAACAATGAAGGATGGAACGTTAATAGCAACGGAGGGACTAGCGTTTTACAAAGTGATTTTGAAGGATTTAGCGTTAATGGAACTTATGGAATCGTTAATCTAATATTATACATTTCTTTAATTGATGAGATCCTTGGATCGGCTCAGATTAAAAAAGCTGTATAAAATTTTAATTCAAAGTTTCTTGTACCGTTTAGCATTGCTAATAGATATGATAAATAATACTCGGTTCTTAATCATGGGAATATTATTTATAAAATATTATAAACGGTATCATACAGTATAGAGTTTATGTTGGAATATTCAACTAAAGTAAAATATATGAGGAAAGTTCGGTTCTTTACCTTTTTAAATTTTAAAATCATGATTTTGGAATTTCAAATAAAGTAATCTGTTATGCATTAAGAAATAAGTTGGAAATTTGTGAGTAGTGGTCAGTGTCTTAATATTAGGATAATATATCAGCAGAACAATAACAATGTATGATCCCCAAGTTTAGATCTTTTTTTCTCAAAACTGGGATTAAATACGAGGATGGACGATGTTTCAAAGGGAATATTTACATCAAAGAATTTCAGAATTTTTATTAGA